TTGGGGTGAGTTGAGAAGCACCACAACCACTACCATGAGAGCTAAAGTTTACTGAAAACTTGACACACTCTCTCTCTCCCTCTACACACACACACACACACACACCAGACTTGTGTTAAGTATTTTATATTTATCTAATCACCTTTATAACTTTCCAGGGAAACTAATAAAAAGGTAGAGAACTTACCCAAAGTCATAAAGCAATTAAGCTATAGACGTAAGATTTTAATTTAAAACCTATACCTACAAAACCACTGTAACACATTATTTCTCAGTAAACTAACTGAATTTGTCACTGTGGCAGGATGAGGACTGCAGAGCTTTTTTTTTTTTTTTTTATTCTTCTTTTGCATACCTGACAGATTTACACACTCTGGGGAATAATTTTATTTAGCTTTTGGCTCACTACTTCTGCCATAATTCTCGACAGTTTCAAAATCCACTTAGATGATCCTTTCAATATCTGAGTTTCCCTGTTTCTTGAATTCATCTCTTTCTATGACTTTGCTTTCACTCAATTACCATGTTCACAACTTAGTCCACTAATTACTCCAGTATTATCAATTTCAGTCCCTTACTCTTATTTTAACCTTCCAAATTTCTAGTTTCTACATCTAGTAAACAACTACAACACACATTCAACCATACTGAAATCTCAATGGATCATACCATTTCCTCACTGTGCCTCAACTCCTTCATTTTCCCACTTTGCTCTTTACCAGATTACTTTCCATGTCCCTCCTTTATAATCATGTCCTTGATTATATCATCTTTTTTGTTCTCTTTGTTGTATCTGCCTGGGAAAATTTCAACTTTGGTTAAATTTGACTCTGTGCCTATAAAATTACAGCACCAAGGCTAAATATAACTTGAGAAAAAAACATAAAACCATGTTGACTGGTCTCTCTAAAATTAACAACTGTGGACCTCAAGTAGGCACTTTAAGTACTATCAAACAATTTCTAAGAGTCTATTCATTCTCTCACTTTCCTAAGTATTTATTTTACATCTTTTCTTTCCTCAATCCAATACATTTTTTCCCAACACTTCTTCCCTCTTCAAGTCCTTGTTTCCTACTTCACTGAGAAAATATAAAGCTTTTAAATGCTCCTTTTATATAAACCAAATTACAAATATCTAGACCTACATAATCTGTCCTTCTTTTCATTGCTATTAATGAGCTGTTTACACATCTATCTTAAAAACCAACCCTTCTACTTGTACATCACATCTATGGCTCCAGCAATATTCCTCTCTTGTTGTGTTTTATTTCGTTTTGTTTTGTTCTCTACTAGATTAGTCCAATTAATATACAAACCTGCTATATCTTCAATCTTTATAAAACAAAATAAAAACAAAAACCTTCTTGATATTATATCCCCTTATTTTAATAACCCATTTCACTATTCCCTGAGAGACCAAGACTCCTTAACAGTGTTGTCTTCAGAACTCATCTTTCTTGCATCATCAACAGATCTGACATATTTAATCACCCCTTCCAGAGTCTTTCTTCATTTGGTTCTACCTATTCCTCATCATTCTTCTTTAATGTTTTCTTACCACTTGATAGCTAAGCATTAGCATGTTTCAGGGTATTTCTCAATTCTTCTAATGCCCATCTTTAAAATTTTAATTTACCTTATTTTCACAAAGCTATGAGTAAAGGGGAAGAAGCTGTGATTCACAACGTCATTTCAAGAAGACCTAAGTGACTCTATAGTAAAACTGTTACTATATACCCACAGGGAAATGTCGATCAGAACAAATTAAATAAAACATATCAAAGTTTTCCTACTTACATATAGCTGAAATTAATTTCACTAAGGAAGCAGAATAATTTTATGTGGGAAACATACCACTGAATGACATTCTGACAGACTGGCAGGCACAAATACTGAAGACTGAGTTAGGGCAAGGATACAAATTTCCTAACCTGCGAAAAATTCCCCACTACTAAAAAAAACCAAATTTATCAACAGCAACAAAACAATCATCAAAATTCATAGCCAAACAAAGTCACTCCTAAAATAATTAGAAGAAATAAGATTACTATTAAAGAAAGAAAAGTATGTTAAATAAGTGACCGCATCAGTAGTATCCATGTAAGAATGAAAAAAGCAGTATTTGTAATCATAAAAGGAAAATTTATATTTAGTGTTATAAATTACCTTTATAAGAAATTTTATGTAATTATTAAATTATACTTTCCTTGATTTATGAAACATAAAGAAAAATTAAGAACATAATTTTATTGGAAAGAAAATAATTTATTATATATGAGGAAGATGATTAAAATACTTGTGATATGTCTCTAATAAACTGATTTAAATGCATATAGATTTAATTTTTAAATACACTTTAAAAGCTGTTACGCACAGTTCCATAGTCCAGGTGGTCAATTTCGTCTCCTCAAAGTTGGAAAGCACTTGAAAAATATGAAATTCAAAAGGAACCTAAAACACCATAAAAATTCATTAAAAATAATGATTATATTAAAACAGTACATTAATTTTTTAAATAACTAAAAGTTAAAACATTTATATTCAGAAAATTAGTGAATCATGTCAGTACAACAAAATTATAATTGTCTAAATAAACAGCTTATACAGAAACTGGTAACATAAAAAAAACACTTTGTGTCTAAAGAAAAAAGCAACAACAATTTCAGGATCTATAACTTTTGGTACTCTTAAAGTGACAATAATTATTAACAGAATCTGCATTGTTTCATAGTACTATCAATAGCAGGATTTAAAAGAAAGACACATAGAGGCTCCAATGCTTTCCCTATTTATTTTCCTACTTATAAAAGTTTAGACAGTTAGATTGGTATTCTTGGGTTCACCTTACCATTTTAATCTAACAAAGTAACATCCAAACTGATCAGTCCTTATAATTACTATGGGATCTTTTCAAATTAAATTCTTGATACTGATCCCACAGATTCTGATTTATCAGTTCTAGGATGGGAGTCTAAGGAATGTGTAAAAATCCTCCCTCAGTGGTTCTCAACTTGGTTGCAAAACTTTGGGAACCAAAACTTTGGGAGGTTTGAAATACCTAATATCTATGTTGAAATCCAGACCAATTAAATCAAGCTCTGGGGGAGAAATCCAGACGTCACAATATTTTTCAGCTTATTATTATTACAATTACTTTTAATCAGTATTTTTTTTTTTAAAGTTCCACAGGTCATTCCATTATGCAGCCAAGACTGAGAACCACTGTTCTGGGTGGTTCTAGTTATCAACTAGTCTGGAAACCACTGCTCTTACATACCTACCGGAATTATTTCTTTCCACTTAATGTGCTACCCTGAGTCAACGTTATGTCTTCTCCTCTCTGTTACCCTTTTCTTACTCCTTTTGTTTTGTTTAGAAAAAGAGAGAGGAAAAAATATTTCTCCTTACTACTTCAAAAGACATTTCAATAATAAAACCTCAGATGTAAAGTCTGCTATTCTTATTTGGAATTTACATTTAAATCCAGTTATTTAAACTTTCAACATATGTACTTAAAAAAAAAACAAAAAGCCCTTTCCCCAATCAAATTTTACATGTTATATAGAACACCTAAACCACATACATCATGAAACAAAGCAAGTATGTCACTGAATTAGATTTAGAAAACACATAAATAGAACAAACAAGACTAAAGTATGTGTTAAAGCAAGTAAATAAGTTGACTTGATTCACTAACTTTCCCTGGAAAAATTACATAACCTAAAGGACAGCATAGAAAATTCAGCAGCAAATCTAAAAATCACGTAAAAGATTTGTTTAATTGAAGCAGATAATTTTAGAAATATTTTGTTTCAATACATTGTAAAAAAGTATTGCTTAAGCTGGATCCATGGGTAGGGGAGAGACAAAACATTTCTAGGAAAATCAAAAAAACACTGCCCCAAAAAAGGATACAACAAGAAAGGATACACTTTGTATGACAGTGTTACAGCAGTATTTACGCAGCAATGCTTCTAAAGAAGAACAGCAGAATGCAGTTTAATTTTTTTCCTCACTTTTCAAGTTAAATTTACAAATAAATGACTTTTTAAAACACACACTGAAAATTGTTTATTTTCATCTGTTCTTCTAACGTATTTGTAAGACTTCTGACTACAGCAGTATGATACTGTACAACAAATACACTCAAATATTCAAGGTGCCTCCCAAAAGAAATAAACATTAAGCAAAATTTTCATATAATTTTTTCCGCTTAACCATCAGTAATTTTGGCCCATTTACTTCATGTTCTTTCAGCATACTAGGGCAGAGAGATTTAGACAAAAATTTAAAAAGGAATATATATACACTCATCTTTCTTAAATCAAACAATGGGACATAAGCTTTTAAGTTTAAAATGCTTAATTCTACCATTTTAATCACTAAATTACCTAAGTATGAATTGAAATTACTTATTTGAAAAACAAAAGACTTTGCTCCTCAAAAAAAGTATATATTTCTGTTAAGTGTGTAATTAGTCATTAGCAAGACAAATTCTCAGGTCCCACCAAGGTTAACCAACTTCTCTTGGCTCAGCAGATACTTTCTCAGTGTTAGCATTAAAAAGTCCAGTGTCTTAGAAAGCCTCTAATCACAGGAAAACTGGGATGATTGGTTACCAAGGCCCTACCCAACGCAGACCTACTGAAATCAGAAACTCTGCATGGAGGTTGAGAGAAAACTCAGTAATCTGTTTCAGCAAGCCCTCTAAGTGATTATAATACACATTAAAATTTAAGAACTACTCCTTTACTCTAGGAAGAAAAAGTAAATAAAGACTAATAAAGACACTTTGCCCTTAAAAAATTCATTCTACAAACTTAACTTTTACATACAAATGGGCTTTGTTCTATGGTTATAATTGTGAGGTTTAATGTGCATTAACTGCATAGTTATACATACAAAGACAGAGACAGAGGGATGGATCCTTTAAAAACGTTAGGAAATACATGAATTACTATTCTATCAGGCTTTTATCCTTCCTTAATTTTATTCCAAGAAAGTTCTGTCCTTTTATTATTCTATCTCCACACTTACCTTACTAATTTTTAACATTTTCTTTTCCCATCTTTAGAATCTTGTTTTGGTCGAGCAGATCGAGCAAACTGCTAATATTTAAAAATTAAGGTTTCCTTCATAAACATGAAAGTAAATTTTCCTACATAATTATCAAGAACATCCTAATTTAGGGTAGGAGTACAGATTTAATTTATCTTTATATTTGTCCTTCCTCTTAGTCATTTGTCGAGTATTTGTTGACTGCCTTCTAGCTGTCCATGATCTGGGAAGAAGTAAAAAATTTATCTTTCATAGTCATTTTTAACACCTGGGCCTTTACTCCTTCATTTACAACAAGATTTATAGTTTGATTCTGCATTAACTGCTGAAAGTAGGATGGTTAAATGCTGCTGGAAGTAGGATCATTAATTAATGATATATTTTGGTAATTAAAGTCTTCAAACACAAATATGAATTATAATATAATAAAATATAAAATAGTAAAACTACAATGAGTCCTATCTTTAATGACTCCAAATGTACTTCTGGATACCGTAGTAGGCCTAGCATGAGTATGCATATACTATTAAGCTGTATTAAGTAAAATGTTTAGACTTAGCTGAATTTTAATAACCTCATATTTATTTTCCAATAAAAATCTAAATAACGTCATCTGGCTCAACTAAATGTATTTATAACTGAGTATTCTCAAGCTAGAATGCCAGTGCTTGAGATTTCTAAACGATAATATAAAAATTGGTTTCAATTATACCCCTACTCCTAAAAACTACACAGTTTTGAAGGATAAACTACATTAATTTGAAGGATACAACCACCATAGGTTTTCCAAAAAGAACATATCCATTAGCTTCCTTTAATGCTTTTGCTGCTGCTTTTTCATTTGGAAGTCCAATGAAAGCTTGTCCTTTCATGCGACCTTCTTTCATCAAGCGTATATCAAACCTAGAAAGAGGTCAAGAAAGAAAAGAATGGTTTTGACTCAAAGAATGTCAAAGAACTTTGATGAAGTGAATGGGAATGTTTAACAATTTAAAATTTTGCTCTTTCAGAATAAAAATGACTTTACTGTCTGATTAGCACATTAATTACCCAGTCTTTCTAAAATTTTATTTTATATTCTGTTCTAAAATTGAGCAGGCAATGTAAGTGCGATGATGTGCTTATCTTTTTTAGTTGTCTACAGAGAATAAGCGACTTCAAGGTCACACAGGTCATAGCTGAAGTTAAAGACAAAAACACAAACCAGATTTCTGTATTCCAAGTGTAGTCCTCTATTATTTCCCAGTGTACTCATTTTTGAACTTTTCAGGGGAAAAAACTATACTCAAAACTACTTTAAAAAAGACTGTAATTTACAATTAAAGTATTGCCTACCATTTAGACAGTCTATGAAACTAGCAAAAGCATATAAACTTTAAAAGTATGGAAAAATGGAGTAAAATTTTTTTTTCTCAAAATTTCATATGACTATCCCACAGGAAATAATTACTAATTTATCACTCTGATGTGTACAGCTTTCTTAATATAGAATTATTTTTCTTCTCTAATTCTAGTGGCAGGCAATATTAGAAATATGTATGCATACACATATGTATGCATTTGTACACATGATATATATACATACACACACAATACTTATATTTATATATCTATGTGATATACATATAAATTTCATATATTTTTAAAATTTTTACTCTTTTCTTTACAATCACGATTCAAAGGCAGGAAGAAGAAAAAGGGCCAGTATTTTGCACAGCCAGCAAAAGAAACTTTTGGTATCCTGTTAAGAGATATCTGTTACTAATGAGTAAAAAAAGGACAATTATAAGAGATGATGCTCCTTGTGCATGCCTATCTAAAAGGTACATAGTTCAGATAAGATTTTAAAAATATTAGTTTTACATGAAGATCCAAGCACAATTAACTAGTTAAGAGTCATTTCTGCTTTACCTTCATTCAAAAGTCTCTCTCTGTATCTTTTCTAATTTTCTTCACTTCTAATTTATATGGCCATGATCATACATACTTTGGAGTTAACTAATTAAAAAATTTTAAGGCACGAAATTCTACCTCCAAACATTAGTTTTATAAATCATTTATGAATCATAAACATAACATAATTTGCAAATATAAATGCTACTCACATTATCCGTTGTGTTTCTGATGAAAAGTCAACATATCTTCCAAAAATAAATTTAAGGTCCTAGAATTTCAACAAGGAACAGATTTATAAGGACATCCAGAAAAAAATATGTAAAATAATAAAACCAATTTATAAATTTCAACTTACCTTTTCTTGAACATGTCTAGCTAAATTCTTTACATAAATTCTACAGTTTGGTTCACCAGGTTCGTAACTTCTAAAAACCGAAAGTGTTTCCATTTCTTATATAAAAACAAAACAAAACAGGGATTTAAAATTGACAGCTTCAAATTTTTCAAAGAAAAACTATAACAACATTCAAATATAAATGTTAAATAGACAAAATAAGAATTATGAAAATAATAAAACCATAAAAATTAATGGCAATGTTACTAATGGGATAAAAATATCCATTAAAAATCTAAATGATAATATGAAAGTTAATTTAAAAATTTCAAGCATCTAGAGTAACTAAAATTTATCTAATAAAATATTTAGTATTAAAACTCTTTAAAGCTTAACTTTAAGATGAGTTAGTTACTTTATCAAAAAGATTGAAGCAAATTAAGATGTTATCAATTATTTGTGTAATTGTTTTACTTAAAGTCAATCTCCCAAACTACCATGCACCAATATATTCAAATGTAAGATGAAGTACTCAAGTGTAATAATCAAGTATTTCAGACAAACTGGGCTTCTGAATCTCTATACAGCTACTCTTATTTAGTGTCAATAGTCTGTTCATTACAACTAGATATTTTAAGCAAAAATGCTATTTGAAAGTCTATTTCTCATTATTACAGGAAAAATTACATGTTACATGTCAATCTAAAACCCCTAAATATTTTCCTAAAATATACTAAAACAGGAAAAATCCATGTTTAGATATGAAATTCATAAATACAGGCTTTTAATCAATAATTAAAACAGTTTTTTTAGACAAACAACTGCTTTGCATACATCTCAGACATGTACTGTGATGGCTGAGCAACTATATCCAGAATAAAGAACTCCAAACTGTGGGTCACACTGAGCCAAGATGTCATATAAAAGTTTCAAGAATGAAAACAAAACATTTTTCTAAGCAAATATAGACTGGAAATATCGTAATGAGAGACACTTTCCTCCCTATAAAGAAGTACATCACCAAAAGCAGTTATTAAAAACATTAACTGGAGATATGTTTTGAAGTATGTGCTTTAATTAAGGTAAACAAAAGGAAAGATTTATTTTGCTTCTGAAGGGCCAAAGGCAGAATTCATGAAATTACCTTCTCTAGAAATTCTTCCCTTTTCCAATTCCCTTCTAGAAATACATTCTGATGGCATCTCATCAGAGTCTTCTTTAATCTCCTCTGCAGTGTTCAAATTTGGTTTTGGGAAGATTTTTCCAAATCCTGTACTGGATGCATCAACTTCAGTAGCAGGTACATCTAAGGGTTAATATTGACATGAGCCATTAAAAATTCCTTCCTTCAAAATAGTTTTTGTTTTCTATTTTAAATTTTTAAGGTATCTTTTAGCACTAAAATTCTTTTGGTGTTTTTCTCAATGCTTTGAAACAGAGGTAAGCAAACTTCTATAAAGGTTCAAATAGTATATATTTTAGGCTTTGCAGGCCATAATGGTTTCTGACATGACTATTCAACTCTGCCACTGTAACATGAAGATGAAAAATAGGACATTTCCATTTGGGATACTGAAAAAAAAAAAAAAGCCATTATACCTCTCCCCACCAAAAAACCCCAGAAAAACAAAAAAAAGCCCCCCCCAACCCAAAAATAACTGTGGTCCTCCAAGAAGTAAGGAAAAACAAGTATTTGCACAATGAATTATTCATTCAATTAGGAAAAGTTAAACACATTGTTAATTTTTAATTTTAGATTTAGCAACATAATGGATTTCACTCAGAAAACATGAATTTTAGCTTCAGCAAAAATTAAATTGGCTTGGGGGAGAAGGTTGGGAAGGATGAGATTAAACATTCACTAGAAAAATTCTAGTGTACTACCTAAAAAAAAAAAAATCCTAAAAAAGCTGTGAAAATGGTGCAAATAACATGCCACATTTAGGACTGTAAAAGTCTCCTCCTAATGTAAAAAAAAAACATTGTACAAACAGATCTCTTCTGGCCTAAAGACATCAACAGAAACACTTTTAAAATTGTTTTCACTGTTACTTCAGCATCACTTTACATTGATGCAGAATGGGATGATTGTGCCCCTCTCATAAACATCTAATTTCCTGAGTAAATCAAACTTAAAAAAAAGTTTGTGTCAAAGGCTGATTAACCATAAGAAAAAAAATACAAAAAGAAAAATATAAAAATTGAAACAAACAAAAAAGGAGCTATCTGAAAGGACAATGCATTCTAACTAACCGTCAAAGAGATAGGAATTAAAACCAGTTAGTTTGTCACTCAGTATATTTGCAATACTTACTAGAACTCTATCCTATATTCACACAAGTGCTCAAAGATATATGTACAAAAACGTATATTCCAGTATTTTCTGTAATAATAAAAAAATGGAAACAACCTCAACTTCTATCAATAGAACATGATTAAATAAAGATTGATATAACTATACTATGGAATATTATGCAGCCATAAAAAGTAACCTATGATAGCTTTTTAACAAAAAGAAAGGGAAAATAAAATGTTTTTTATGCAAGTATAGAGTAAGATCTGGAAGGACTAACTTCATACCAAATTATTAACAATGGTTATCTCTAAATAGTGAGGAATGGAACAGTGGGGTTTGAGGTGTTAACTTCTGAAAATTTTCTATGCTCCTGTTTTGATTACATTTTCTATTATGTACTATTTCTGCAGTTTAAAAATTAAGAACAAAGAAATGCTATTATAATACAATATCATATTAATGTTTAAAATGAGCAGATAGAATATTTGTAATTTCAATACATTATCCTTAAACTTAAGAATAGTTATCTTGGTAAATAATCTTCCATGTCCTTTAAACAAACAAAAAAAATTACATAAAATCTACCACTCACAAGATTCACACTGCTTGTCTTCCTAACCAATAATACACTTATAAAACATGAGAACATTGCATTTAACAAGCTATGAAAAATTATCAATACAAAAAACTTCTATTTTTAGTGTAAACATCAGCAAAAATCAGGCTAAATTTCACCCTAAAGTTCATTACTAGCAAAAGGTAACAGTGACAATCTTAACCATTAAGCAACAATTTTAGTTATATAAAAAAGTTTAAAATGGGTAATAAGGGTAAAGGAGGGTATAGCTCAAGTGGTAGAGAACATGCTTAGCATGCATGAGGTCCTGGTTTCAATCCTCAGTACCTCCTCTAAGAATAAACAAACAAATAAACCTAATTACCTCTGCCACCAAAATAAATAAATAAATAAATAAATAAATAAATACATAAATAAAATGGGTAACAGAAGTGCACATTTTAAATACAGTTCACAAACACTAGAATACTGAAACACATATGAAATTTAATTCTAATACAAAAACCTGATTGAGAAGAATTTTCACATAGCATATTAAAGAACTAAAATATGCTTACCACAATTTTGTTCTTCACAATTTTGTTCCTTTTCTAAATCTTTCTTAAATGCAGCTGGCATGTCGGTAGATATATGGAATTCAATTTTTTTACTACCTACAGGTTGTGGTTGATCAAAAACATCCGAAGGTAACAGCACTGGATGCAAACTGCTGTTTATATAAACAATCATAGCATTACTTCCTAACTGCAAAGAAAATTCTGAGTAAAACATTATTTTGTATTTATTTTAAATTTAAAAAGCTGACACTGATAAAGCACTCACACTACATGCAATGAACAAAGTAACTTACATTTAATACTTCAATAAATCCTAACAAATGTTCTCATACGAGCATTATTAAATTCCTACTTAGATAAGAGGTTAACGGATGTTAAGAAACTGCATAAAATCATTCAGTAAATGACAGAGACAGGACTTTAGGCCTATTGACTCTAAACTTCAGGATATTGACCAATATGCAAAAAACTTAATTCTATGTTTAATATAAGCATTTTCTGCACTGTATTTCTTATACTATATATTAAAAAGCTATGCTATCCAATGGAGTAGCCACATGTGACTAATAAGCACTTGAAATGTTGCTGTACTTATGCTCTAAGTACAAAATATACACCAGAGTTTAACAACTTTGTGTGAAAAAAAGAAATGTAAAATATCTCTATAACTTTTTATGTTAATTACATGCTGAAATAATACTTTAGATATAATCAATTAAATAAAATATATTATTAAAATTAATTTCATCTTTTAATATGGCTATTGGAAAATTTAGTTCGGTTTCCATTACAGCTGACTCTTGAAATACTCAGCGACTAGGGCCCCCAACTCTGCAGCAGTCAAAATCCCATATGTAACTTTATAGATGACCCTCCACATCCATGGTTCCTCTGTATCCAGTTTCATATCCAGGGATTCAACCAACCTCAGATCATGCAGTATTGCAGTATTTACAGAAAAAAATCTGTTTATAAGTGGACCCACACAGTTCAAACCTATGTTGTTCAAGGCTCAACTGCATTAATTTTTAATTGTTCAGTACTGCTATAGACATTAAAAGCATGGGACTGTGGTGTCAAGACATATATAGGTGGTTAATATGCACATTATTTTAACATGAAATAATAATTTTAAAAACCCAAAGATTAAAGACCTTTCCTTTAAAAATGTGAAAGATTATTTTAACAAACTTCTTTCTCCATTTATGAAGTTACTTACAAACTCAAGGAAAATTTACCTTATAGAAAAGCTGAATGAATTTTAAATTCCAAGTAATGGCAATTTTCACCTGAGTAAGATATTAAAATACACAGAATTCCATGGCAAATAGGCAAGTCCAATTTCTGCCATAATTTCAAGCATCATGTTAATGCAAAATGTCAGATAATCAGACAAAAACGGGAAAAAAGGACAATATATTTCAAACAAAATGCCCAACAATGAATACTATTTTGTTGGCAATTTCTCTACTATAACAGTTTAAGACAGTTAATTTATATCTAATAAAATTCTTTCATACCCATAGCCCTGACCATTACCCCAAATCTGCGTATTTCCTGGAAAGTTTATCATAATATAACACAGTCTGAAAGAAATTCTTAATTTTCAAAAAATGTCACTGGCATTACAATGGTTCCCTCAACACATTCACACATCATAACCTAATATTTAAAGGCAGATATCCCCACATCCTTCTAGCTTTTCCTTTCATCATTTCTATTCCTATGCAACAAATTTTCTTACCTCTGGCAACTTCCACATTTTTATTCACACTGGCTATCCCTTCCCTGCCTAATTTTTGCCTCTTATCCTTCAAGCCCAGTTTAAATGTCTCCTCCCATTTAAAGTCTTTCCAGATTTCTTAATTGGCTGTGACCTTTCTTTTTTTTTTTACAACCTTTCATTGTTAGTTGTATCTTTTTCTTATGTCATTTTATTATAATTGCTAATGCAACAGAAATCTGTGCATATGGCTTACTTGCCCCTAAGACTATTAACTCACTATTTGAAAAGATGGCATTAAGCTTTCAAAGTATGCTCCAAATCACAGAATATTAAGCAGAGAACTTATCACACATTCAATAAATATCTAAAAGGGGGGTTCTGTGTGCTAAGTCATGTGAACTTTTACCTAGGAGGGTACTTTGAAGTAAAAAAATGTTTGATATTACGTAATGGAGTTAGAAGAAGCTAACAATTTCATATAAACAAATTGGTGATGTCATCAAAACTGTAAATGCAGTATAAGAAAGGAATAATGAAAGGAAAGTAAGTGAATTTTGTTTTGGATAATATCTTAAATGCCTATAAGATGCTCTTGAGTATGCAAATAGGAAGCTGGAAATGAAGTCTTTAGATCTCAGGAGGTGAAATCTAGAGATGAAGATTTGGAGTCCATTAGCTGCAACAGGTGAAACTATAAAAATCAATGAGATTAACACAGAATTTAAATATAAGAACAGAAGATGACCATAGACAGGAATACATGAAAC